AACGCAGTTAGGCTTTAGAGATGTTTTAAGAGGGATGCTGTTGCCCATCCCTCGCCCTCCCTTAGTCGCCTAGTACAACTTTATTGTTATAAAGTACAATAAACTAACTATAAATAAATTTATTACAGACCTAATGATGTTTCTACAAATAGATACGGACTTAGATAATATTATGCCATTTACGGCTTAAACATTAGTTGGTGGGTAGTAATTTCCATTCTAAACACTTCTATCCTCTATGTATGTGTTATGTGGGTTAATAATAGGTACTATTTAGATAGAGAAACAAAAGCGAACCCTTTATGGGGTTTGTCACCCATAAAATTATACGCCATCAGCCTTTACTCTACGGTTTCAGAATAGTCAAATAGGTGTCCTTGTTTTCTGGGAATATGTTTAATAGTTTAGCATTATTGACTATTAGTTACAATAACTTTCTGTAAGCAAGCTATTGTCATTAAATGATTAAATATTTACAATTATCATCATCATCATCATCATATCGACTTTTTTTTGATGGGTGAAAATGGTATGGTAACCCCGCCTGCGCTAACGGGATACGCTGGCGGAGCACCAGTAAAGGGTGATAGATGAGAATGAAAACAGGCCAGTTAGCCCATCATGATGAATTCATCAGGAATAAATTATGATAGTTTCCAGGAGGAACCGCGAGGAGGTCGACCTAGTTGGGTATGTTGCTAGCAATAGGGCTATTTGACCCCTTTACTAACAATCCTTTTCTCACTAAGCAGGTCAGTTAATTCATCATGATGGATTCCCTAGGAATTTACTACGATGGTTCCCAGGGGGATTTTTAGTCTCCATTACTAACAATCCCTTTCCCCCCTCATATCAGCTGTTATCTGTCCATTGCTGAACACAGACCCCCCCTATAGACTGTCATAAGGAATATGGTCATTTTTTATGGGAGTTTACAGTTGGGAAGTAAGAGGGGAGTGGGGGGGGGGGGATTTGGCAGTAGTTAGCACGTTTAACAGATAGTTTGGTGATGTTTTAAAAAGGATGCTGCTGCCCATTCTTCGACTATTAAGTTCCCTTAGTTGCTTCTCATGATACTCGCGAGCCAGGAAAGGACGGCCCATTCTATGGCGGGACCACACGGCATAATAATACCTAAATATTTACATCACACAAGCCATATGGACGTTGTAATGTTACTGTAAATTATTTAAACTAGAAGTCTTTATAGGGAAAAAGAAAATAAAAATAAAAAAATTCCATATAATTTGAATATGGAACCAACACGGAAGTAAACCTATTACAAAAAGAATTATGAAAATTGATTTAGAGTTGGCGATGTAATCGCGTAATATATGTAGACAGAAAAATCAGATGAGTCGTCTGTTTGTTTATACGGGTATAAGCTTTATTGTGCATTGAGAATCACTTCCTTTCGAGAAACACTTAAAAGATATTGTGACTACATTCCGCATTTCCGATAAAATAAATTACATTAATTTATCATGTTGAATGGAACGTCACAGATATGTTTGCGGAGCTCAGAAATTACATGTAAATATTCAATACGAATTCTGTAATTCCGGTGGTGCAGTGGTTTAATACGTTGCTCAGAAGGTCACCGGTTCGATTCCCGGTAAAAATGTGTATTCGTACCTGGTTTTTTACGCACCTTAGAATGTCAAACAAGCTGACGGCCTACCTGATGGAAAGTAACTACCGTCGCCTATAGACGTGAGCAGAACCATGGAAATAACAAAATACACTGTTTCGCCCATGATACCCCCCATGCGTTGCCATTCCTGAGGACTCAGGTGTTATCCTCTGTACTTTGTAAATTCACTGCCGTATCCCACCCTTCAAGCAGAAACACAGCTATGCAAATACAACTGCTTTACGGTAGAAACATGAACGGAACAGAGGTACCCAAGCAAAACGACGAAGCAAACTTTTGTACAAAATCTCCCTCTGGTAATAATTAGTATTAGGCATTTTTGTGTATGTGATAAACAGTTGTATTGTATTGTAAAATCTTTATTGTACATAATTCACATTGAACACTGATAAATGATTTAATATACAATGGCGGACTTATCCCATAAAGGGATCTATTACAGGCAACCTTTGAGAAACTGAAAGAAAACTGTAGAATGTATAAGGGTAATAACCGTACAGTTAAAGATAAACTAAATAATACCGAGTAAAAAATTAATTGAATATATAATACAATAAAAACAGCTCTATATACCTACATATGTAAATAATAAAAGTACATGAATAATAATATAACATTAATACATAAAAATTTAAGTTCGATCAATTGTCTATTACATTATCATTGTCAAGGGATGAACAGCAATGCCCTTCTTAAAATATCACCTAAGCCTATCTACAGTTGTCAATTCGATTGCCAAGCGTGGCAACTAATGGCAAAACTACCTTTATGGGAAAGGCCTATGTCTAGCAGTGGACAGTAAGTAAAGTGATATAACAATAATAATAAAACATCAATGCAAACTAGAACTTCGATATTTTTCAACTACAATCGATATTGGATGTGTTTTTCTTCAACCGATTTCAAAAAAGGAGGGAATTATCAATTTAGTTGTATTTTTTACTTCAACGACTTCATAAAGAAGGAGATCCTCAATTCGGTTGTATTTTTTATTTTTTTATTATTTTTTATTATTTTTATTATTTTTTTTTTGTGTATTATCTCATAATTTCTTCAGTTATAAACCGATTTATAAAATTCTGTTTTTTTTTATTAATAAGGATATATTTTTAGGTCGGTTCCATAGAAATTTTAACAAAATCGGTTTTTGAATCGATGTCAGTGCTTTTTGTGGAATAAAGTCTTAAATTTTCATTGTAAGGTTTCCATAATTAATTTTATCATTTACAGAATCGCAAATTAATCTATCAATAATTAATTAAGTACTTGACTTTTCGATTTTAGTTGTTTAAAACTTTATTTACAATTACACTCCTACCGGTGTTGGCTAAACCCAAAATGTTAATATCATCAAAATTCATTTTTGGTTAAGAATTACATATAACTTCTCTTGGTGTTAACTCACTCGTGTATACCTTCTTAGCAACTTTGTCATCCGTATTTAATACGATTACGGCTTCAAACTCAATGACTCTTTTCATAAAATCCATTCCGTGTGAAGAATCAATAGGATAGATTAATTTGACAATGCCCATTTTGGAACAAAATATTAATTGTAAATTGACGGTATCCTTAACTAAATTTCTGGTCTTATGATATTGAAGTGAACATTTACTATTTGAGACGTTAACCGTCCACTATGGACTTAAGTCTTCCCCATAAGGGGAGTTTTGTCAGTAGTTGCCACGCTTGGCGTTGGCAATCCCAGTTAGGTCTTAGAGGATGTTTTAAGAAGAACGTTGCTGCCCATCCCTCGTCGAGCCTTCTTTCGTCGGCTCTTACGACACCTATGGGAAAGGAAGGGGTGGCCCATTTTATGCCGGGGCACAAGGTGAAGTAAACATACTATGTATCATTGCTGCATTTAATCGTTTAGTAACTTAAGAAGCTACTAAGTAAACAAAGAATATACAAAAAGATTGCGTACAATTAATTAAAAATTTTGATTAAACTGAAAAACTATTCTACTTGTAAAAAAATTTTATTCTATGTACTATATCGTAAAGAGTCAAATGTAATTTTTGCAAGAAGGACAATTAAAAAATGGCTCCAGATTTGAATGTACTATATCGTAAAGAGTCAAATGTAATTTTTGCAAGAAGGACAATTAAAAAATGGCTTCAGATTTGATGAAGCAATAAATTATTTTAACATTTATTATATAAGTAGATAGGTATTATATTTATTTATATTATATTGTTTATTTTTATTTTTCTGTATATTTGTTTATGTACTCTAAATATTAATAGTTGTAACACATCAGCTGCTCGATAACGACATGCTTTCTAACTGTATTGGGTTAACTGGAAGAGATCTCTGTCAGAGATAAATCCACTCTTGTTCACAATATTTATAAATGCATTAACAATGTAGTTTACAAGTGCAACAAACAAAATATTAACAGTTACGAGTTTATATATCTTAGAAATTGGAATCTTTGTTAAAAAGCACCCACAGTTATTTAATAAAATTTGTGAAATTAATAAATTTATCAAAAGGGACCCTACCAAACTACACATGCCTATATGTAAGAGTAGCCTCTATCATAAAAATTGTTTTGTGATGTGCATAAATATTTACAATAAGATACCCCAGTCATTTCGTGAAATGCCCTTTGAAATTTTCCGAAGAAAACTACGAAATTGGCTTATTGAAAAGTGTTTTTACACGATAAAAGAATTTGTAAGTCGGAATGGCAGATTAGACTAAGAATGCATTTTACGTAATAATATTAATAATATGACATGTACAATTTTAATGCTTTATAACTACAATATCGACTATTTTTAAATGTTGACATAATTAACTAATTCAATGTAACAATTAATATGTGTTTAGAATAATTATTTGGACATACATAATTAATAAATTTTTACTTAACATGTGCTAAGACAAAATTTGCATGCCTTTAGATAAGGCGAAATGTGTAGCTCAGTTACCATTTTAAGTCCTTTGTACCACATTTCGAGCAAATAAATTATTCTTATTCTTATTCTTATTCAAAAATATAATAAAAAAATTGAGATTTCAATTAGAAGATTTCAATCAGTATTGAGAACAGGATGAAAATAAATTCTACTGGTTATAAAATAATTATTATATTGTTTGTAGAATTGTTTTAAAATATTACATAAGATATACTACAGAATACAATGTAATTTAGAATTTAATCTAATTTAGAACAAATTAGAATTAGTTGATATTATCAATAATAATAAATTAATTACCAGGATACAAGAGAATACAATGTAATTTAGAATCTAATTAAGAACTAATTAGAATTATTTTGAAATCTTTAAAACAGTTGATACGTATTATTAATAAAATATAAATTATTGGTTACCAGGTGTCACCAGTCTCCGTGACGTCAGACTAGTGGTGGAGCCTGCCACGGTCATCAGAGGTGGTACAGCTGCTCTGATCTGCTACAGAGACATGCAGGGGGCGCCACTATACACCGTGAAATGGTACAGAGGGAACCACGAGTTCTACAGATTTACACCGTTGGAGGAACCAAATAATAGGGTGTTTGGTCTACCAGGAATTTATGTTGATGTGAGTTTTTGCATCAAATAAGTTGTTTGTAATTTGCTTGACTTTTTTTTTTATTTTATTATGAACTGACTTTGATATCGTTTTTTTAATACATTTTAGTCTTATAAATTTTGTTAGGTATTATATAGTTTTTTTTTTATAGAATAAATTTTTATATTATTTGTAAAGAGTGCAAGTAGTTAGTAGTTTGATTTAATAAAGCTTCATTATTATTTTTTAATTTTGTAGTAATCATAAAGTATATTTAATAAAAAAATGATTTTTTATTGTGCTTAGTTGAATGAATGTCTCGTATTGTATTGTAAATCAATTTTTATGATTATTTATGCATTCTATAAAATTTATTCTCTTAATGATTTCATATAAATATTGTCACAATTAGTTTTTTTTTGTAGGATTAAATTTTGATATATTTTATTAATATAATAAATTTGTAACTAGACTATGTCCGTACATGGGAGATACTTAAGAAAAGGTGATATCAAGAGCCTTAGAGCAATAGAAGCTAAAACAATAATTTTTAGAAATTTTTGTCCGATTTAGCACCGACTACTGGAGCAAAGATACGTACAGACATGTATTTTGTTTTGCGTGATACCGGAGCAAAGTCCGGTATCACGCAAAAACTAACATACTTGTATGAGATTTTTCCAATCGTATTCTAGAAGGTCTAATTTCAAAACAGAGGGCTTATCATGAAATGTTTGCCGAAATTTCGGAGCCTAAAGAAACACAAATTTGATATTAAAATTACATAATACATGCCGTTTGGAAATATTAAAAATGTTAAAATATCGTTCCTTTGGACTTTTATGAAAGAATGTATGACGAACGAAATGTTAAACTACATTTATTGGTCCGATTTTGATGTAAACAAAAACACGAAATGGAGTCCGAAACTTCTGAATTTCATTTCATGGTAGACCCGCTGGTGTATGTTTTACCTCGATACGCCATCTAGTAGCGGTATGTTTCGTTGGTTTTCCTGCGTCTGAAGCCAACGTGTACAATATCGGGTATAAAAAGTCAGTTCGTATATTCAATCTGGCCCTTAGTTAGGTACCTCTTTTAACAGTCTCATTACCTATTCATTTATTAGTGTTACAATAACCGTAAATAACTTCAAGTGAAAAATGTTCCTTATTGTCCTTCGCCTAACGACCGTCCGCTTCACTATCAGCGCCAGTATAGATATTTATCTCAATATTACCATTTTCAACTACAATAGAATTGTAAAGAATGAAATATGCATTTAAAGGGTTCTTAATTATTATAATCCATTTCCTTGTTCACTGTCTTCTCTGGTTAGATTGATGTTTTCTGCTGTGGAAGGGATGGTGCAATGTATTTTTAGTGGGTCGCATTCATATTGATGACGTTACTAAATAACGACAGATTGTTATATTAAAACTAATAAAATCTTACATAAACTTACATATTTATCAGTCATTTACCACTGTTGTGGGTTAAATTGAGTAAACGACGTTGGTAAAGATATATATTTCAACTGTCAATTCTAATAGATAAAAATGATCTTATACCATATACTAATGAATTTTATTTATTTTTTTATTTAAGACAATTTGAGTTAATTTTTTGTTAGTAAGTGTACTTAAATACTAAATACAAATAAAGAAAATTAAGATAAAAATGGTGGGGCGCTACATTAACTTAGTACGTGCAGTGCTAAATTTACAATTTATTTATTTAAAGGAACACCAACAGCATATTGCATTATAATACATATAACAAACATTAAATACAATACAATATTAATGCACATGCGTATTGAAGGTATTCACAGCATTTACTTTGACATAATTATACAGTATGAAATAAAGTAAACAATTTTAAGGAATTAAATAATACTAGACAATTATTAAATCAAAATTTTTTTACTGTACTGCACGTATAAATATAGATATGACTCCATAGCTAGCTGTATACCTTGGCAGGCCAATCTCCACGTAACCCCATCTCAAAATTATCATGGTTAATTCAACACGATGGACTAACTGATCGTTTGTACACTGCCAGCGTGTACCGATAACACTGCCTGGGTTATCATTCCATTAACAACTATTAAAAAAATTACTAATACGTCAATAACATTTTAAATGATTTTTTACCATTTCGCTGTTTTTGATTTCGTCTGATATTTTTAAGCTGTTGAGTGAATTATAAAAATACTCCATTTTTACAAGTATAAATTAGCACTGTCTTAATATTATGTTTAATGGGTGAAAATGGAATAATAACCCTGCCTGCATTATCGAAATGCACCTGGCGGGTCACTAGTGAGAGATGATAGATAAGGATGAGTTCAGATCAGTTGGTCTATTACTACGAATTCAACAAGAATTCACTGCGAAGGTGTCCAGGGGAAACCACGTAGAGATATAATACGTTTATAATAATAATAATAATACGGTTGTTAGAGTCCGTTACTAATAATCCCCTTCCCCCTGTCTAAATATTAGAAATCGTAGGTAAAACTCAAATAATTAATTATTCTACATTTGTACAAGGACAATGCGGCCCTCCGATTAAATACATCTGGTGTAGGGAATCCTGTACGTTCTGCTATCAAATTTTCCCATTTCCATCACCTAGAGATCGTATTTAGATTGTATGGTTTGTGCGAGACGAAAACCTGTTTGAACTAGCGTTTCCTTGGGTTGCTGCGAAAGAATTATTGGCTCTTTACCTTTGAATCTCAAGGGCAAATGGAATAAATTTGGATACTTTTTTTTAGACTAAGATGTATTTTGACGACATATTTTTTTGTAATTTAATACTGCATGGATTATGCCTTGTATGCGCGTGGATTTTTGAAGTAGGTATCTATTATTATTGAAAGACGGGTGGGTGTTTCCAGTCAGAAAAACCTGTGACCTTTTCATGATCTTTTGTACTCGCCCTTTTAAAGTTCACTACCAATTCCTATCAATGATAGGAATTTTGAGTTGTTTTTTTTGTAGCGATATTTTTTATCTCCTCAGGTAATTTTCAAAAGAGGTATATTATTTTTGTATAAGAGGCTTAAAGTCACAAAGTGCTGCGGCGTTTCTTCCTCAATGTGATAAAGTCTGCAAACAGTTGGACATAAGTTTAGTTGAGCCATGTGCTTGTTTAGTGTGCAGTATCCAGTAAGTGTTCTTGTTGATACATACATATTATTTTTACTCAGAAGAATTAATTTCTTATATATATATATATATATATTTTCTGAAAAACCCTTAGTAAAGAACTAACCCAGAGTTTTTGAGTGATTTAATCCTAGCATCAAGCTATTATTTGCTAATTGTAAGCTTTCAAGTTTGAGGTATCTGAGATTTGTGCTTCGAACCATGCCACAGTAAGGATCTGGTCCCTTTTGGGAATTCTTCGCCCCTTCTTTTGCTAATTAGTCAGCTGTTTCATTTCTACGAATGTTTGAGTTAAGTAGGTAACCGCTTCTGTATAGCGTATAAAGCAAACATTAAATTTTTAAGGCACTTTTTTCTATGCACAACTACTCTTTGGAATCAACTTCCAGCAGCAGTATTTCCGAACCGATACGATATTATAACTTTCAAGAAAAGAGCATGTTCCTTTTTAAAAGGCCGGTAGCACACTTGCGATGCCCCTGGTGTTGCGGGTGTTCCCGGTTACCTGCATTACTAGTTTGCTCCCTGTGTTATAAAAAAAAAATTAAGTTAGACTTTCAAGAATACAATAGTAAAAAAAAACAGCATCGAATTTCGTGTAGTAGTTTCTGCATGATGCCAAAACAAACTTACAGACAAATATTCTGAAGAATATTATTGTTCTACCTTCTATTGCTCTTATTAAGAATCCCTCGAATTATCGTCGTTTGTTAAAATATCTTCTATGTACATGCATCATTTAGTTACGACTTTATTATAATTACTATAAATAAATCTCATTTTAAAAGTAAGTACTTGAGATTACATTTTAAAACAGAGCACCTACGTGTTTACTAGACTTACTTCCTATTGAATTATCTTTAAAGTTTACTCAGCCAAATGTGAGAAAGACAAGGAAGGTGGACGTTTACTAAAATAACAACAATGCCATATAAAATGCTATATTGATTCCGACAAGTGGAAAAATGTCAGATGAAAGAATAACGAAACGTGTATAGTGTAAACGTAGAAGGATACGGGTACCGGCCTAAGTTAATTTACTACGATCAGATAAACCGCATTCTATTTTTATTTTTTATTTGCTAACAATATTAGTTTTTGGATATAACCATACTATCAGAATTGTTAAATTAAAATGACCATCATCATAATATCCGCATTGAATTGCCCACTGCTGAACATAAGCCTCTCCCTTGGGGGGTTTTGTTAGTAGTTCCCACGCTTGGTAGGTGGATTGGCAACAACAGTTAGGTTTTTTTTAATGGGTGATAATGGAATGGTAACCCCGCCTGCGATATGAGGATACGCTGGCTGGGTACCAGTGAGGGATGACAGGTGAGGATGAAAAGGCAGATCAGTTAGCCCATCGTGACGAATTCCACTAGAATTAATCACGACGGTTTCCAGGGGGAACTGTGTGGAGGTCGACTTGATAGGGTGTATTGCTAGCAACGAGTCAATTAGACACCATCACTAACAGTCCCTTACCTCCAGTTCGCAGTTAGGCTTTGGAGTTGTTTAAAGAGAGACGCCGTTGCCCATCCCTCGCTCTCTCTTAGTCGTCTCTTACGACATTTACGGGAGGAGGGGAAGGATTGTTAGTAACGCGGATTATCAGTCCCATTGCTAGTAATATACCATCATATATGGATAAATAATCATATACATGAATTCTGGAAACATTTTAGGTAGTCGTGAACAAATATATCTATTGAAATAAAGAATCCCACATACATGAATTCCGAAAACATTTTAAGCATTCGAGAAAAAATATATCTATTTAGAGGTTTTTAGCATTCAATTCTCTTTACCTAAAATAGAAGCAGTTAATAAAATATCGTCGACTTCTCG